TATTGCCTAGACAACTGGGATTGTCTTTGCTTCATTCATTTATTCATCCACTCATTTATTCAAGGAATATTTATTTGATGAGTGCAGACATTTACAAAGTAGCTGTCCCTAAGGAGCTCGATCTGGAAAGAAGAGATGAATGCCAAGATACTTCTGACTTGTCAAGAACTGGAAAACTACTCTGGGTCCCGGGGAGCTCCAACGGATGTGGGAGTGAAGAGGAAGGAGCAGAAGGAAAACTGCTTTCCGCCCTGGGAGTGAGGTGAAGATTCTGGGAAGTTAAATCTAGGCTGGGGTAAAGATAGGACAACAATAGAATATGACTACAGGCTTTTTTGTTGTTTGTAGCACCTACTGTGTGCCAGGCACTAAGTACTTCATAAAATATTAACTCATTCAATCCTCAGACAACCATATAAAATAGATTTGATTATTCTCTTCATTTTCCAAATAAGGAAACTAAGGCACAGAACCTTCATTGAGTGTCTAGTGACCAGAAAGTGACCAGACAGAGGCATCCAAGCCAGGGGGATACTGAGTCACACTTATCTCTTGGAATGAAAGCTGGATTCTGAACCCTCTCCTGGACCCAAGTACCTAGTTCAAACATAGAGCCTATGCAGAAGAGGCCTCTTCTCAACATTTTACTGACAGTGATTTCATACAGACGTCTGAGACTGGGGTAGTTGAGTGTCTTTCAGTAACAGAACTAGAAGAATGGATTATCTCTAGAACACACTAGAGCTCATAACAACTTTTTAAGATTTCATCATCCTCCAAACTCCTTGGCCAATTGTGATACACTGACCCCTGAACCTCCAGGAACAGTTTGCTTCTGCCACTCACATTCAGCCATTCGTTCACAGCTGTGTGGGGGATATCAAGTGATTAGCGTGTGCCAGTGATTGGTAGGAATGAGTGAAGCAAGGTTTGGACAGAGTGAAGGCAAGAGTTCTACACTGGAATAAGTCTGTGACAAGTCTGTGAAAGGGGAAGAACAGATCTCAGGTGAGCCTCTCAGAGGGATGTTTGAATAGTGAGGAGAATTGGGAAGGCTGCCCAGGGTCTGGCTGACCACACAGAAATTGCAAGCACCATATCAGGGACTCAGCCGAGGGCCTCACAGAGATGCAGACCTAGAGGAAAGCGCCGTTGGCCTGGGCCACTGCCTTTTGCTTTGCCTCACTCACTAGTTTAAAAAATGTATAAGAGTAAGACTTTCTCAAAATAACAGTGTTTTACAGGACATAAGATTAGAAAAGTTGAGAGTCATCAAATAGTAGCAACCATCTATTTCAAGGAGCACCAACCATATATCTACTATAAATGGTATCTCGAATCGTCATAACAATTCCACGAAGCAGCTATCTCCTGCATCTGTACAGATGAGGATGCTGAGGCTCAGATTAAGTAAATTAACACAACTTCTGGGCAGGTGCTAAAAGGCAGCCCCCCTAGATATGTGTGGCTCAGCAATTTTCTCTAGAAGAAGGAAGGAGGACAGAGTGTCCACTAGGAGGAATTCAAACACAGCTGGGGCAGGAACATCATGTAATGCATTCAGAAGCCAACTTCTATTTCTTTGCTTTGTGTTGGTCCATAAATTCCTGTGTAAGTTCACAGGTTTGTTGCTAGTAAGTCCAGACCCCTTTCTGCTCACTTGGATTTAATTGCCTGCATTGCTGATTTCCAATGTAGTCACCTGGACCCTGGGGGTTATGTAGCCTAGGCCAGAGCAAAGTGAACTCTCCTAGCAGCAAGGGAAGAGGCCACTGGAGCCAAGAAGATTGGACCTGGCCTCACTTTTAAGATCTGCAGTCCCTTATCCATGTGACCTTGGGCAAGTCCCCCCACCTCCCTGATCCTCAGATGCCTTGATGATCAAATGGAGATAAGACCTCCATCTCCCCCTCCCCTGGCCTCTGAGGCTTGAAGGAGATCATTTACATAAAGTGCTTGGCACAGTCCTGCACAAGCTATAGGTTCCCTCTTCTTGCACCCGTCTAGCTTCTGTGCACCCTTTTCGCACCTTCTTCTAGCAGTTGAAGGTGAGCGCCAAATTTCTCGAAGGGGCCTACAAGGGGCTGATGGAGGACTGAGAAGGTATGGTTTGGGAGAAAATTTTAAACTTGGCTCCTTAGCAGCTATTTATTAAGCACCAGTTCTGTGAAAACAAAAACAGAAAACAACACCAACAAAAACAAAATCAAAAACAAAAACGCAACTCTATGGACTACTAAAGAGATAAGAAAGAGAGAGAGAAACTCCTTTTTCTTAAATATTTCCTCCTCCTCCTCTTCTACTGCTATATCTACAACCATTGATATAACAATATGTCTTTCATGCAAGTATAGCTCATTATGCCAGTAAGCCTCCCCTTCCAGTTTCCCATCATACATGCGAGATGTGCAGGCGACATTCCATCATGACTGAGGTCTCAGGCTTTGGAATAGGACACTCTGAGTTTGGAACTGTTAAAAGATAAACTAAGGCATATCAAAAATTTTATGAGTTTATTTGAGCAAAAATCAATTCGAATCAAGCAATGCCAAATCAGAAGGGGTTAGGAGTGCTCCACTAAAGGAGCCAGGGGAAAGACAGTCTCGAGAAGGCGCAGAAGCAGTGAAAGAATGTTATTTGGTTGGCTATAGCTTAAAGCCTCACTGATTGTTTGGGATTGGTTGTCCTTAGTGTTTCAATTTCATAACTTGAGGCATTTCCGAGCTTAGATTTTGGTTAGGCTGTCATGGCATTAGTCTCACTACAGTCTAATGACGTCCTTGTTTAATTAATTTAACTAATCCCAGTTCCACAACTAGGGCTGCATGACGCTAGGTGTGTCATTGAAACTTGCTAAGCTTTAGACTTCTTCATCTGTATAATTGGGTTGGTCAGTAGCCTTTACCTTAGAGGATTATTGTGAGGAGAGTAAAGGAGAAGGCAGAAGTAAAGCTTTCACGTCAGTGCCTGGCACATAATGAGCGCTCAGCATGCACACATTGTCATTGACATTATGGATCATTCTGGAACTAGGTTGTCTCAATTGGAAGCCCCTGGCTCTGCTGCTTATGAGCTGTGTGATTTCGGGTAGGTTACTTAACCTCTCTGTGGCCCTGTGTTCTCTCTAGGGTTTAATTATCTTATTGCCAGCATTCACTGAGGTGGCCTTTTTTACTTTATTTTACTGTCAGGACTTCTATAAAATTGTCATGAGATTTAAATGAAATATATGTATTCACATCATAATATATTATGCATAGTTCTTAGATTATTGTCCGGCACATAGAAAGCACTATATAAAAGTTTGCTATTATTATTGTTTTATTTTATTGAGGTCATTTTTTTCAAGAAATGTGATTTAACACCTACTAAGTGCCAGGCAGTGAGGAAACTAAACTATCCTCATCTTCATGGAGTTTACAGCATGTAGAAACAGATAATAAACCAAATAGGATACTGGGGAAGCAGGCGAGGGGTATAAGATGGGCTGAAGGTGGGAGTGCAGGTATTATAGTTAAACAGGATCTCTTCTGAGTAAGGCTTGAAGGAGATAGAGGTGTCTGTGGGAGGCACACCCCAAGGCAGTCATAAAAGACAGAAATGCTATGACAAACCTGGTTCTACCGTCATCCAGTTGGCTCAAGATGGATGTCCATCCAAGGTCATGCTGGAAAAGTTGAGTCCTCTGAATAGCCTATCAATCCCATTAAAGCATAACACTGGAGGGTTTTTTTTAAGCCTCGCCCCCTGCTGGGGTTACCAGCTGTGGGGAAGGAGTGCGTGGAGGCACCTTCACCTTACCTGACACTCACAGCAACACTTTCAGACTGGTGTTATATCCCCTTTTTACAGAAGACACTGAGACTTAGAGACATAAGTAATTTGTTCAAAGCCACATAAGATTGGAACAAGGTCTGCCTGACTTCAGAGGTCCTACTCTGTCTACTAAAACACACTCTGTGAACTCTCTTGCTCAAGAAGGAATACAGGAAGGGTACTTCAGCCAGCCAGCCACAGTATAAAAATTGACTCAGGATAGTGCATATAAAGTGCTTATTTCAGCACCTGGTGTACAGCAGAGGCTGTGTCAATTGTTGTTGTCCTTAACCATCTGAGGAATGTCCATCCAGAATTTGGTACCCATTTTGGCGTCTCTCCATTCTACCCAGGATACCCCGTGTCTGGGGCCGTACTCATTCAGCTTTGTCACCATGACAACCATCCCTCTGTCAGAAACACCCTTCTCTAGCCCCACATATATGCCCGTGGAGGATGAATTTAGGATCAGAGAAGATGTATGTAGAGTGGGAGCAGTAAGAAATAAATGACAGAAAGAAATAAAGACAGAGAAAGTCAGAGAGAGAGAAAAGGCAGAGATATAGAGAAAGGTGTTGGTGGTCAGAAGCCCTCTGTCCATCTTCCTGATCATTATATAAAGGACAGGGTGCTGGAGGGAGACCTTAGAGACCCATTTCAAAACCCTTCTCTGCATTATCTTGCTTTGGGACTCTGAATAAATTCTTCTCTCTCTCTAGACCTCAGTTTCCCCATCTATTTATATTCTTTAAGGCTCCATTCATTTCTAATAGTTGTCACTTAGGACTCCCTGACTAACCCTCCCTGAATTAGAAGACCCTTCCACTCATTGGAAAAACAGAGTTTATTCAGAAAAATCAGTACAATATGCACTACAGGATATCGCTCAGCTCATATCATAGACATGGGATAAACAAATTCACAATAAATTAGGGGGAAGCCAAACCTTTTTCTCCAGGATGGCCCACAGGCCCTTTCAATGGACATATTTCATTATAAATACGACAGTAGACTACTAGGTTTCTTTCAGGTATGATCAGACAGCCTGGGCCAAGCCAGTTGGACTTTTAGCTACAAGGCGAGATCTGCTCAAATATAGATTTTTCCC